ATTTGAACAAGTCCACTTGTGCTGGGGAAGGCAAATGCAACTGGAGCTGCTCTTGCCCCTGCCAGTACCCAGTGTGAGGAACTGCCATTGTTCCCCATTCCCTCTCCCCCAGGTGCAGGGCTCACAAACCCCTCCTCACAGGCAGGAGGTAAAAAGGTTTTTTTAAGCTTATTTTAGTGAAGTGTCAGTGCGTGAAAAGTAGGCACCAAAGCCCAGGCAAGGACTTTCAGACATACAGGGGAAAGGGGAAACTTTGCCGGTGGCTCTGGTTCAGTTTTGTCATGGAGATGGTCTTAGCCAGCAGTTTCCCTTAACTTCCCAGCCATACGGCCACTTGAATGGGTGCCAGTGGTATCTGAAAACAGAGATGTGCCAGCCCCTCCTGGCTGCAGAGGGTAAAAATAACTGAAGGTAGCTTGAGTGCACTTGTACCTGGGTGGCAGAAACAGAAACTCAAATAGTTTGCCTAAACATACAATTGTTTAAAATAATACAGTTGATAGTTTGGGAACAGACCTCCTATTTTTAGTTCTCTGGACAGGCAAGGGTGGCTGCTTACTTTTGTAAAGATAAACCTCTTCTCATAGAACAAAGAGGTGGGAGAAACTTCTGGTTTGTGCAGTTCTGGTCTGGCATAAGTGAGTCCACTTCCAGGGAGTGTGTGGACACTGACCCCATCCCAGAGCATGCCCCGGGCAGCTGGGGGCCTGTGGACACCCAGGGTATTCTGCCTCAATCCTGCAGGAGCGTTCCCTGAGGCTGCAGGCAGCCTCTCGACTCCTTTCCATGCACCAGCACTTTGCAGTCCAGCCTGTTGCTGATATGGCAGCATTTAGCAGCCTCTCCCTCCTCCTCTGGCCCCACAGAAGTGGGGGTACCCCACAGTGCTCACGCCTTGCAGCTCCTTTACTCCTCCTGCCTCAGCCCATTCCTGTTGCTTTCCTCCACATCCACCCACTGTCTCCTCTCTGGCAGACCAGCCAGGACTAACTTCTCCAAGCTGGCCAGATCTCCCTCCCTTCAAGCAGCACACCAGCCTTTGGTGGAACCATTTGCTGACCAAGCCCACATGCATGACTCAAACCAGAGCCCCTGCAACAATCCTGCCTGCATCGCGTCCTGGTGAGTGCATTTTCCAGCACATCCAGGGCCTAGGACCGTGTGAGTGAGCTGTGATCCCAGCTGCCTTCTCTCTACCACTGTGACTACTCATGGAGGCCCTATACACTGCCCTCGAAGGGGAGATCAGCACCTTCATGAGGCACACGCAGCGGTGCCAGGAGACCTTCGACCTGCATAGCCTGTACCATGTGCTGCTGCTGGCGCTGCCACGGAGCCCC